TGAAACTATAGGGACATGGTGATTGGCTGTCCCATTGCCTCTTTTGCAAGGTAGGCTACTGGTAGCCTTTCATGAGAAGGATCTAAGTGGAAGGAAATAATGCATGTGGCAAGCAAGGCTTCCAGCACCTTTCAAAGCCTGGTTCATCACTGTAACAGCAAGCATGTTCAAGCTCTAAGCAAGAAGACAGCCTGAGAGATGGAATCTGATAAGGCTAGAGTGAAAAGGAGAAGACATAAGTGAGGGATGGGTGGTGGAAGGAGCCACAGGTTCCTCCCAGGTTTGCTGGCTGTTCAATGTTCTGTGTGCTCTGGGCATAAAATCCCACAGCACTTTCTCAAACCCTTCCTCTTGCCCTTCTATTTCCCCCACCCCATAACATTGACATGGCTATTCAGACAATAAACTAACACTGAGCACCAACATGGGCCATTCCTGTATGAGGCACTGAAGCCATGTAAATAGGTAAAAGCCCTCTCCCAGCGTTTTCCAGCTAAAGGGTTCCAACTTGACTTGCTGAGAGTTCACTGAACTTTCTCCCACATCCCAAGGCCATGTGGTGGCCCAGATCTGTGACCTAGAACAGACTTGTTAATGCTGTATTGGCACCTTCTTGCTCCCCCCTGGGGTCTTGGATAGGAAACTGCTTCTTGGTTGTCGTTGAGGACAGTGCCCATGGACCATGGAATTTTCCACAAACAGTTTAGGGTGAAGAGACCTCAGACAGAGCATGTCTGTCTAAAGCCCAGCCCTGTCTCAGGACTGTACAGTGATTTTGCAGACACAACATCTCCGACCTGAAAGACTAATGACTGAATGCCGAGGAAGGTAATTTCCTTATTGCCACCGATAACTCTGGTATTGAAGTAACAGCAGCCACATGGTATCTTATTAGGAAGAATTTAGGATAAGGAAGTTCCCACCAACTCTTATAAACACAAACTGTAGCAACAGATGACTGAATTTCATCTAGGATGTGCTGACAATAAGCAAAAGCACCTGTTTCCATCACTGAGAGGAAGAGGAGGAAGAGGAGGAAGAGGAGGAAGAGGAGGAAGAGGGGGAGGCAGGGAAGAGAAAGAGATAAGAGGCATGAGAAATGGAGATACAGAGCAAGAAGGGCACCCTGACCCACACTGAGTTCAGCTGTGGATTCCTGACCACACATTCAAGAGTCTGAGAGAACTAGAGGACAAATCAGGTCATAGGACCCAAAATGGACAAGTCTAATGTGTTTATAAATATGTGAACAAGGTTTTATGTCCACTAAATCAAATAATAAAACAGAGGAGGGAGGGAAAAAGGGGGAAGAAGAAGGGAGGGAGGAAGGAAGAGAGAGAGAGAGAGAGAGAGAGAGAGAGAGAGAGAGAGAGAGAATATGGATACATGGATGGCCTGCTTGTGTCAGATGTCTCCTGCTCTGTGTAGGACTCCAGTTAGGAGATGTTCAGCGATGTTGTGGAGTTGGGGTTATCCACTGCATTTTCATCCAAGTGGTCTACCCTTACTCCTCATGCAAGGTGACTTTTACCCCACCCTAGGGAAAGTAACCTCTAGCCCTGGCCTCTCCCTGTCTACCTGACTCCAAATGTCCCCTAACTTACTCTGGCCACCATGAGACAAAGCCAAGCTTCTGTGTTTCCTTTCTGGAGTCTTCCTATGTCTTTCTAACATTTTCTTAAAAGACTCACCATCCCCCTTTAACCTAATCTAGCTGTTTTCCTTCACACCCTCAATATTTTACCTGGAGATAATCACACATGGGAGGGGTGCTTGGAGCTCATGTAGAATAAGTGGTATTTGTGGAGAAGCCACAGTAGACATGGGCATATTAAAATAATAAAGTCTATGTATCTGATTGGTAGGGCCAATGACTTACTTTTTCATGTCTAGTCAAGATATTTTCCAGAATGTGATCTTGTTTCATGTTCATGGTGATCTTATGAAACAAGTATTGTTTTATCATCTTCATTTCACACATGAAGAGGCTGTGAATGCCCAGAGTGTTATGTAGTGTCCCATCTCCGATGCTAGCACCAGTCCTTCATTTTAGGCTCAGATCCTGGTCCAGCTGTCTCCTCATGTCTGCCCTGGCTGCACAGATGTCTTCCGGATCCTCAGATTTCCTCCAGTCCTATAATTCACCACAAAGTGTCTCTCATTCAGTAGTTTCTCTTAGTTTCAAATGTCTACAAACGTAACTCAGAGTCAGTGAGGCATGAAGGCTTTCTCACACCACCTATCACTCTGAGGCCTTGAACGCAGGTCCTGAACTTAAAGGCTTCAAGTTCTCCAACTTGCCCTTACATTCACACCAGAGAGTCACCTTGTTCATAGATGAGGAGTCTATGTCACCACCTTCACGGGGATCATGTCCCCTGGTGACAGTGTATGACCAATACATAGTTAGAGGCAGCACCTGTTGAGATGTCTAAAACTTTCTTAAGGCCACACCTTGTGCTACAGCTTTGTCTAGAAACTCCAGGCTTCACAGTGGAGCTGAGCTCTCCTCCGTGTGATCTGAGCAATCCAGGCTGCAGAGTGGAGCTCAGCTCCAGGCAGGTCTTTTTCCCTCGCTGCAGAACATCTGGTATTTTCTCAAAGTGGCCAGCTTTGTCTTCCCATCAGTCCTGTTCCCTGGTGGAGCCTCATCTAAGGCTCTGTGTCTAAATGAAAGGTGTGCCTTGGCTTCATAAGTGAGATGCCGCATCATACGAGGGACTCACAACCAGAGGGAAGGCCATGTTCAGCTTGCTCTTCTATCTGGCTTGATGAGTGATTAGACAGGACAGGGCTAGGCATGAGGAATAGGCAGCAAGATAAAGGCTGACCGGGATCCTGATCTCTTATCCAGGGAGAATGGGCAGAGCCAGAAGTGTCCAGGTTAAGATTGCTCTAGGAGTCCTAGCAAACCCAAGGACTTAAGAGAGGAAAGGAAGGACCAAAAGCCTGAGCAGTTTGTTCTTGGGAATACACCATGCAAATTGGTTCTGTGGTTAACCACTATGGTTCCTACAGAAAGGGTCTCAGTGCTACTACTCTTATGAGAACTTGTGAGGGAAGATGTGTCGGACAAGGAGTCCAAGGCATTTGTAGGGATGCATCAGCTTCTCAATTTTGGGACCAAACATTCATTCAACAAATATTTCAATGTTTGTTGAAAAACAATAACCTTCAAAGCATAAGAATAAAAGTTACAATGTAGCAGTATACTCAAGTAGTCTTAGAACTTGGAAGGTGAGGGTAGGAGAATTAGAAGTTCAAGGCCATCCTTGACTCTCTAACAAGTTTGAGGTGACCCTGAGTTACATAACACTCTGTCTCAAGACAAACAACAGCAAAACAAAAGAAAAACCAGTAACCTGTAAGGGATACACAAATGTATTCTGACAATGGAGCCATTTTACAAGGAAGGCTGACCTGCCAGTTCCTGCAGGGCATAGACATTAGTGACTTCCAGAGGTATGAGAAGACATTTGACCTTGAGTGACCTAGTAAAGGGGCTAAAAAGAGGCGGCGGCAGCAGTAGCAGCAGCAGCAGCAATAACCACAACAACAGCAATGATACCATCTATAGATCCTTATGAGGATGGCAAAGTAGGCAAGCCCCTTCCTCTGGTTTCTAAGGGGAAGCCGAGTGAGAGTACCTTTCACTTATAAAGAGCTGCATGTGTCTTTCCATCAGACCTTAGATACAGACTTGTGGCCAGCTACTATCGACTTGTGAAATGGATGGCGTACGATTCTGAAAGCAATTCGCTTGAAGCTTCTGTCATTTGTGAGCACAGAGTGGCCATATTTCTTCAGAGTCTGTTCTCTGTCTGTTCTATGCTCTTCTCTCCTCAACATGAGTTCTTTAAAATTATTCTCTTGCTTCTTTTTCTTCCCCAAGTTCTTGAGAGTCGATCAAGACAAAGACAGAGACTGCAGCCTGGACTGCCCAAGCTCCCCTCAGAAGCCGCTCTGTGCCTCCGATGGGAGGACCTTCCTGTCCCGATGTGAATTCCAGCGGGCCAAGTGCAAAGATCCACAGCTGGAGATTGCCCACCGTGGGAATTGCAAAGGTGAGTGGCAATGGTCATGGCCAGAAGGCAGTGCCTATGAGGCGAGGGCATAGAAAATTTACTTTCACACTTAACAGCTTGAAAGTTTCTAAATTGGTAATTATATCTCAGAACATGTAAAGAGTAATTTTTATGAATTTTAAAGTAATAATTTTTGAGATAGCGTTTGATGTAGCCTAGGTTAACCAGGAACTTACTATGTAGCAAAGGCATCCACTTCCACAGTACTGGTATTAAAGATGGGTACATCCACGCCTGGTTTATGGTCTGCTGGGGACTAAACCCAAGGCCCCTTGCGTGTTAGGCAAGGAACTCCACCAACTGAACTGTTTCCAGGCACAAAGCAGTCATTTTACAAATTGTCTGATTTCTCCCAAGAGTTTTGTGTTGTCATAAAACAAATTTATCACAAGTGCTTCAGGGTTGTTTGTTTGTTTTTGCCTCGAAGTGCTCTAAAATGATTATCAGTTCTTTTTTTTTTTTCCTGTGAGTGAGGTCACCTTTGGATTTACCAGTCTTCAGATTAGCAGCTAGATCCAGAGTTATAGCTTAGAGCGAGCCTGGAAAAGCTTTGCACAGTAATGAAGGGTTCAGCTTAGCGGCAAGCACACAGTGCTTTCAAAGGGGATTTACTTTCTCTGAATCTCTGGGAAACAAGACCACACAGACTAAAACGGCCTTGAGAAGATGTGTGTTGATGAGCCATTAACTCTGACAATCCTCCCATCTAAACAGCCTAACCACATTAGCCACCACCAGGGCCATGCCTCTGCCTTCAATTAACCAAGTTGCCAAATTGTTCTCTCTTCCTGTCAAAGTGCAGAGTTCTGCTAGGCAGACTTGGGTCATTGTTACAGGTCATGCGGACAGACTGTCCTTAGCTCAGATGACTCTCCCCCTGACATGAGCAAATGTCTCTGTTCTGGACAGGAGTGGGAGAGCATACCTGCAATCCTATCACATGGGAAGAGGAGGCAGGAGAATCCCAAGTTCAGAGCCTGTCTGAACTACTTAGTGAGATCCTGCCTCAAGATAACATCAAAAGTGAAGACGGGCATGGAGGGAGCTCAGTGGTAGCCTGCTTGTCTAGAATGAATGAAGCCCCAGGTTTAGTACCTGGGACTAGGGCTAGTGATGGTGGATCCTGATCATAATCCCAGTTCTTGGGAGGGTGAGCCTAAGTGCTTTGAGTCCAAAGCCAATATGGCTGCATTGTGAGACCCTGACTCACAAAAACAAAACAAAAACATAAATAACCCAATATCACAACAAAAATACCCAGTACTACAGAAACAACATAACTCAGTGGCAGTCATCTTCCTTAGTGGTTAGAAGGAAAGGAGGACACTTAGGATAAATGCCATTTGTGCCTAAGAATCCATTCTGTTTATTGGAAGAAAAACTAAACTAAACCAAATAGCTTATTGACTCACACCCACCTGACATTGCATACTTATTATTATTAATTTGTCCTGTTGCTATTTGTCCCTAGATATTTAATTTCTTCATGGACAACAAGAATGAGAAAAATATAATTTTTATTTATTGTGGAGCATCTATGTAGCCACACAAATACTTCTACACGTGTTCTCATGTCCCCAGGAACATGCAGTCATGCACATGGATGCGTGCATATGTACTTGCATGTTGCGGTAAATCTCCAGCCCAAATAAGACCAGTCAAGGAAAGCACAACTCAATAATTATGGATATAAACTTCACACCTAGATTGGGCAGATTTACCATTACACTACTCTATTCCCCAGCTATGAGATCCCTTATAACTTGTGGTTTTTCCAGGCCATGGGCTTCTCCTCCATTGTCCTTCCACCTCTTGCTTCTCCGCTGACTTCCTCCTCCATCGACTTCTTACTCCTCCCACCTTGGCTCCTCCTACACCTGCACACACACACACACACACACACACACACACACACACCCAGCACATTCAGGTGGGCTCCTCACTGGTTCATTCAAACCAAATCTTGCACTAGCCCTGACATTGGCTTAGGGTCGATAAGTTTGGTGAGTTGCTGCTTCCCTCTCCCTGAAAGACTCCTTAAATGGTGCTCCATGGTCGCAGAAAGGTTCCATCCACTTCCACCCTGCAGTTCCTGAAGTGTGAGGTGGTACCCAATGGACACCATAGGAATCTGTGCTTCCTTATAGCACCTTGTAGGTTGAGAGTGAGCTGGCTACAAATTCAAATTCAAGGAGTCCACTCTTGCAATTCCATCCACAGACCACTCTTCCCCGCATCTTCACACATTCAAATAGATGGTGTGGTTGAAAGAGTGTCCCTGGGCTTAATGGATCCCCTGCAGGCATGGTACAAGAGGCTGTGGGCAGCAATATGACAGCAGTTCACACCTGGCACTATGTCTTTCCCTCACAGATGTCTGTGCAGTGAGAGCTAATCATACATTTACGGAAAATTTAGATGCAATTTTATGTCTTGACTGTTGCTGTCTCAGCTATATACACAGAAGGAAGAGAAACAAATAAAAACTTCTTTTAAATACCAGGATGTAATCCCTACAGAAACTTCTAGAAGCAATTGCCTAGGAGCAATTGTCTTGGCTTTCAATAATGATCCCTGTGGGAAGCGGTGACGGTCACGTGGCTCCACAAAGCCTGGCATCTGTTGTTACAGCTTCCTGCCACATTTTCTTGGCCCAGCTGGACATCCTGCTGATGGACCACAAGGAAGTGGTCAGACTGAGCAGCTGCTGCCATGGTTACTGAGGACCAGTACAGCCATGAGAAGGATGGTGTTAGTCAGGGGGCTTGACAATTTCAAGGGCAAAAAAAATGACAATGGTGTGCTCTCCTGTCCCTAGTATGAGGTGTCTCCCCAGGGCTTGGACTTTCACTGGTTCTGGTGACAGTTTGATTTAATTGTGACAGGGTCAGTTTGAAGTGGACAGAGATGTTCTCTCAGGGTGTCCTGGGTCATTGCTGTTTTATGGCAACCTCCTGTTCCTGGATAATTTTCTGGGTGGACTTCTCAACCCCTAATGGAGGAAATTTTATATCATAAACTTGAAACTTCCAAAAACACAATGGAGAGAATCATTCAAATGTGACACCTCTCCAAAGCAAGTGTAAATTACAGAGAAAGGATTACAATAAAAACACCACAGACTCCAGCAGCTTTCTGTATTGTGCTTATGTGGGGCTGTAGCCAGCCCAGGCAGTAAATACAGAGCTGGAGGAGAGGATGTCCTCCACACAAGTGTTCTTCAACACAGGTGGACATCATATCCCTCTGGCACACTGAGGGTACAGGTGGGACACCAAGAGGCCCTAACTTACTCCCATCTATGGTGAGTGAATTTTATCTGCTGGGGTATGCCTTCACTGAAATTAACACAGGGATGGGGTCTTTGCTTAGGGTGTCCTCCACCACCAGGCATTGATTACATGATTTCTAAAGTCAAGTGGGTAGCATTTCCTCCTGCCCTGAATATGAGCTATTGAAGAGATGGCTTATGGGAATGGACCCATGCCCTGAAACCCAAGCACAGCATTGGCTGCCACACAGTGAATTGTGTGACTAGACTGACAGTTCTCTCTTCCTTTTCAAAGACTACAAATGCTGTTATCTGTACAAGACCCAGGTGAGCCCTGCTCCCCTGAGCTAGCTGAAGAGACATGAAATCAAGTTTTTCTTTATTGTCTCTTCAAGAAACACAGTGTCCACCTCTCCCTTCTCTGTTCTGGTGTGGAAATGTCCAACTACAGCTGGCCTTTGCATTTTGAGGCCATTTTTACATTTTTACTTGTGGGTGACAGATTTGTGAGCCTGTCTCTTTTGCATGTGCTGTTTTGGAAACAACAATTAAGATATTTTATTCCACATTTAATTAAATAGGATTAAAATGTGTGTGTCTCGTGTCATGTTTTGACATTGACCCTGACTGGAATTTCAGTGGTGTAGACGGATGGATTTTTCTCGTGTTTTCATAGAAATTTGTGGAGTTTGTGTTTTCAGAACTCGGCAAACATATTAATATTTTTCTTTTGATCTGGAACCAGTATGGCTGCTTTTCTTTTCAACAAAACCTCTGGAACTGAATTTTTTGTTTTTAAAAAAAAAAAGGAAAGAAAAGAAGAAAATAAAGGAAAAGGTCACATGCCAGGAAACCTCGGGATTATTTTGAGATTTCTGGGAACAAAACTATATTTCCAGAAACAGCTCCCTTGAAGGTTTCTACACCAAGAGCTTGAAGTGGACTCATGTGGGGAGATGCAGATATTTGGTTGCCAGCTCAGTCTTCCTGTGCCCACCACTCACTGACACTGGGGTCCCTGACATAGGAGAACTAGGACACTGGCCACTGGGGAGGCCTGAACTCACAGGGTGGTCTGACCCCATGATGAGAGTAAACAGTTGTCCTTGTTATGAGGTTGCGGAGTTCTCACTGTGTCAGGACGGGTCACAGTGGCTCAGTGTCATTATCTAACAGAGATTAAAACTTGACTCTCCAGCCTCCACCCAACCTCAGCTCTCCAGCTGTTTGAGATCCTTAAACTGGGAGGTTCAGGAGTCAGGATCTAGCCTTCCATAGAGGAGTGAAGAACACATTTGTCTTCTACCTCCAAGACCACATGAGCCCTGGGCATTCTTCCTATCTGAAGGTTTTTTTTTTCCCTAAAATACTTCTAATACTATTTTACTTGTCGGCAACTGGCAAACTAGAAACTGGTCACAAGTTCCATCATTGACCCATTTTCTGTATACAATCATTCATGGTCTCACCCCTTTTAAGACAACCCCATGAGAGAGGTAAAGGAAGCACTGACACCAGGCTGGTAAGCCTGCAGCCCCATGCAGAACTACCTTGACCAATAGGAATAGCTTGGATGGTTCTGCTGGCTGCTTCAGTGAGGGATGGACCTGTCTGAATTCCACTGAGGGAAATAGTTTTCCATGAGAACTCTGTGTAGGGTGAAGGGCACACGTGTGTAGGTGTATGCAGGTGCGAGTATGACTTTCCA